TTGACAAGATCACCTGCAAGGATCAGGTTAAAAAATGGATCAAAGGCAAGGACGTTACATTACTGCCAGCGCAATTAATCCTGTAAAAATCCAGAATGCTCTTTTCTCTTAATAATACTTGCACTGCAGTACTTATCATAACTCTGAAAGTAATTTTGTTTTAGAACTTGCCTAATCCTATTTTAACATCTCTCCTCCTCTCTACTTTAACTTTCCTTTCTTTTTCCTGCCTCATCCTCTTCTGCATTCTGTCTGTATCCAAAATGAAATAGAAGATGTGGTGCATTTAACCTCTCCTGCTGTAACCTGTGAATTGTAAGGTGTGCGCTATACTGTGCAAAAATCTGTATCACCTCATTTGGTGAAAATATGAACGGTGATTTTTGCAATAGAGACAGTGATTTATAAAAGACAGGAAGAAGGGCTTTTCTTGTTAAATGGGAATATTATAAAAGTCTGTTATAAAATAAGATGCCAGTAACTATCATGCATACCACTTAATTGCACACACACCCTCTAATGAACTTCTCACCCTCTAGCCTAAATTATAACATTTCAGTGTGGATCCATGGGGAGAGAATGTCCCTTGGAATGCTATATGTATTTGTTATTTCAGTATACAGTGGTGCCCCGCTTTACGATGCAGTTTTTGCGATCGCTTAAGCGATCACAAGATGATGTTTTAATAGGGAAAATGTGCTTTACGATGATCGGTTCCCTACTTCGGGAACCGATTTTTCGCTTAACGGCGATCTTTATAGCTGATCATCAGGTCTTCAAAATGGCCACCCGCTGTGCAAAATGGCTCCTCGCTGTGCTTTAGGACAGATTCCTCGCATTACAGGCACCAGAAAATGGCTGCCCTATGGAGGATCTCCCCTGGACGCTGAGGTATTTCGCCCATTGGAACGCATTGAACCGGTTTTCAATGCATTTCAATGGGCTTTTTCATTTTGCTTGACGAGGATTTCGCTTAACAGAGATTTGAATGGAATGAATTCTCCTCGTCAAGTGAGGCACCACTGTATAGAGGCAAGTACATTATGCTGTAGTGGTGTACATCATGTACATGAAATACAGTAATATCCACCATGTATATTTGTCCTTAACATCTTTCACATTTCTCAGTATTCCAACTTCTCCTCCAGATCAAAAAGATCATGGAGGCAAGAGGATAGAGAGACCAAGGTAGTGGCTGTTGATTTCTCATATCACTGAAACTTATAACCCCAAAGGTAAGCCCCATGCAGTACGTAACATCTCCTAGTTGATTCCTAAGGAAGCAAAAGTGATTACCTTGTGAGAGCTATTGAAAAATATGATGTCCATCTCTTGAGCCCTAATAAATGTGGGTTGTCAGGCAAACTGAAAAGATAGCCCGAGGGAAAAGCTTGTATCCAGGGCATGGGGTTAACTGAGGAGAAGACAAGGCTAAAGCTCAGTCATATGACTTCACGGTACAAAACTTATTTTACAGATAACTGTTCTGACAAGTAACCAGGAGCCGAGGGGCTGATGACATAATAAGGTTTGCACAGAGGCTTTATTTTGCTTTACAGGCTTCAAATGTGCAAAGAGTTCTGAAAGGTAATGTGTGTTGGCAGGATAGATTTTTTTTAAAAAAAAACCTGCATATTTTGGAAACAGAGTTTTATGATTATTTTATTACCCAAAAACATGCTATTCAAAACTGAATAACAGTGGCCAAGCAAAGGGCCTATCTTGCCCATACACTTGACAAAAAAGTAATGTTTGAAAATGGACACTATAAAATGGAGTGCTGCTCTGGAGACTGCTGAAGAGCTGTGGTTTCTGGTCTTACTTAGGTAACCTTCTGGCAGTCGGTGCTGCCGTTTACCTCTCCTGTTAACTGGGGAAAGAAAAATCATTTTGCAGCCGAAACTCACCTCAGTGGCTAAGTTAGGATATTCCTGCAGGAAAAAAAATATGTCATCGTTTTGGAATCCAAACGCAGGGATGTGAAAGCTTAGGAGAAAAGCTTAGGACAGTGATTCTTAGACTACAAGTCTCAGACTTTCCCAGCAATGCTGGCTGAAGGATTCTGTGAACTGTGATAAAAAAAGTACATTTTCCAAGCTCTACCTAGGAAACTGTGTGCAGGTGCTTGGAATTTAATCTAGGAGATGGTGGGGAGGAAGAAGAACTCTGCCTCAGGTGGTCCCAGACCCATAGTTGGTACACAAGCAGCAACTGTCATTTCTTTAAAACAACAACAACAAAATGTCAGGTGCAGAAGCCAGCAATGCTTTAAGAATACCTTCCATCTTCAATAAGTCCAATAAATAAATAAATATAATAAAACAACAACAAAATGTCAGGTGCAGAAGTCAGCAATGCTTTAAGAACACCTTCCATCTTCATTTTTTCTAGTGCCTCATGCCAGTTGTCTACTGCCATTCCCACTTACATGACAGGAAAACTTATGACTAGCTGGTAGGAATAGGAAAAAAATGGTGTTTTATCCTAACTTTTCAAACAAAAATCACAGAGGTTATCAGGCACACTCGATAGTTGCAGGAGTCTTGATTCCCCCGGGGAATAATGCATGCATGCATTCATTCATTAGAAGGAACCTATATTCCGAGTAAATGCTTTAAGAATACCTTCCATCTTCATTTTTCTAGTGCCTCATGCCAGTTGTCTACTGCCATTCCCACTTACATGACAGGAAAACTTATGACTAGCTGGTAGGAATAGGGAAAAAAATGGTGTTTTATCCTAACTTTTCAAACAAAAATCACAGAGGTTATCAGGCACACTCGATAGTTGCAGGAGTGGTTGTCTTGATTCCCCTGGGGAATAATGCATGCATGCATGCATTCATTAGAAGGAACCTATATTCTGAGTGGCCTGGCTGCCAGATGGTAGAGGGTATATATCTAATAATCAATAAAAGAAATAAATAAATTCCTTTCTGATCCAGTACAGGGGAGGGAGGTTGACCAGCACATTGCACTCCTGAGGACAACTTGCTTGCACCCACCTGTAACCTGGCAATGTCACAAGTCAGCTGGTTTCTGACGAGATTAGTGTTGTTGTTTAGTCGTTAAGTGGTGTCCGACTCATCGTGACCCCATGAACCAGAGCACTCCAGGCCCTCCTGTCTTCCACTGCCTCCCGGAGTTGGGTCAAATTCATGTTGGTGGATTCAATGACACTGTCCAACCATCTCGTCCTCTGTCATCCCCTTCTCCTCTTGCCTTCACACTTTCCTAACATCAAGGTCTTTTCCAGGGAGTCTTCTCTTCTCATGAGATGGCCAAAGTACTGGAGTCTCAGTTTCAGGATCTGTCCTTCCAGTGATCACTCAGGGTTGATTTCCTTCAGAATGGATAGGTTTGTTCTCCTTGCAGTCCAGGGAACTCTCAAGAGTCTCCTCCAGCACCACAATTCAAAGGCATCAATTTTTCAGTGAACAGCCTTCTTTATGGTCCAGCTTTCACTTCCATACATCGCTACTGGAAAAACCACAGCTTTGACTATGTGGACCTTTGTCGGCAAGGTGATGTCTCTGCTTTTTAAGATGCTGCCTAGGTTTCTCCTCACTTTCCTCCCAAGAAACAGGCATCTTTTAATTCCGTGACTGCTGTCACCATCTGCAATGATCATGGAGCCCAAGAAAGTAAAATCTGTCACTGCCACCATATCTTCCCCTTCTATTTGCCAGGAGGTGATGGGACCAGTGGCCATGATCTTAGGTTTTTTTTATGTTGAGCTTCAGATCATTTTTGCGCTCTCCTCTTTCACCCTCATTAAGAGGTTTTTTATGAATGTGGTTAGTAGTGCCCCTCTATTCTGATGTACAAGGTGAGTTTTAAATTTTGTTTAAAACACAAGCCTACAGGTGTGAAAAAGCTTATAAAGGATAGGTGCTCAGATGTTCAGTGAGGTTTTACATATGTTTTCAAAGAGGTTGCTATATTAGTTTCTTTGGTGGATATAATTTAAAACAAACAAAAAATAAAGATAGAGGCTTGTGGCACTTCTGAGAATAATAGATTTATTTTAGTCTTAAAATAAATATTGGGATGTAAAGGTGCCATAGGTGTTAGTTTTTCTTTTTGTTTGCTTTCGTTATATGTTTTATTGTACATAACACTCACCTGACAGGCAGTAAAGTGCTCCTGAGATGCCACAGCATGGAACTGTGCCTTTTGTAGAAGTGTTGATATTCTAAGAAATGACACCATTGAGTGCATATACTTTAGTAAATGATGCATTTCTGTGTTTTTGTAATTATTTTTACGACTTTTTTCTAACTCTCTTCACACACAAAAGCTTAAATTCTTTGCCTTTTTCTTGGTGCTTCTGGAAAGAGTTGTCTTTCATTATCAACTTTGAAGTCCTATGTTTCCAAATGATATATAAATTTGATAAATAGATATTATTGTTGGTTAAAAGCATTAAGGGTGAATTAGATTTTTATAACACACTGCAAACTTTAAGCAGTAGATCAATTCACTGGTAGAAAAATCTAGTAAAGTTTTTGTTTAACCAGTGGGAGAAAATTGTAATCAGTAGAATAGAGACTGAGTAGCATGTTCATTTAGTTTTTGAAAATATTGTTATTTTACAGTGTTACTACAGGTAATAATGAAAAAAGAAACTAATTATCTGTCCCAGTTATACGTGGTGGCTTTTTATTATATAATAAACTGTTATGCATTAGTATCAATAAACCTGAAACTGAAGTTTTTGTTATGTCCAAGTATAACTGTAATTTATACATAACTCTGTTTCAATCCAGATAGTTAATAAGCTACAGCTATTTAATCAGCACATACTCCTATTTTACATTAGTAAAACTGATATCGTAGACAATCTTCCAAATGTACACACAAGATTTATATATATTTATTCTGAGCAAACTGCAACATTTTGGAAAGTCAAGATGCCTTTTACAGCCATAAGTATAAGTTCTGATATTTTAATAAGTCTACTTCATTAATATAATGCCTTTTTAAATATATTGTAGGTACAAGAATGGCTATGCTTAAATTGCCAGACACAAAGAGCACTATCTGGACAACTTGGCGATATGGACAAAATGGGACCTCCAGGACTTCCAAAGTCATCACCCAAACCACCAGCTGCTCCTCAAAGCCAGGCTAAACCTTCTGAGTCATCTCCTCAGCAAAAGGCTTCAGCAAGACCTCCTCAGGCACTGGAAAAAGCAAAAAGAGGCCCAGAACCTCACAAAGAAGATTTAAAGTTACATCAGGCCAAATCAGTCAAGGCAACGTCTGTTGATAACATTCGGGAGAGTATTCAAAAGGAAGATTCAAAGGCTCAACAAGAAAAATTGTCTAAAGCAGCATCAGCTGATAAAATCTCCCAAGGTATTTCAAGAGAAGACCCACAACTCCAAAAGGAAAAATTGGTGAAGTCACCATCAGCAGAACAAATTTCAAAAGAAGTGTCAAAACAGACCACAGTACCATCTGCTGGTAAGATCTCAGAAGATATTCAAAAGGAAGAACCAAAAGCAACAATACCTGATAGCATGCATAAAGAAGACCTAAAATTGACCAAGGTGCTCTCAGCTGAACAAATTCAAGAAGAAACTCCCAAGCAACAGCAGGTGACACTGGCTAGGATACCATCTGCTGATCAGATTCGGAAGGAAGATCTAAAGATCCAGAGAATGAAAATGGTAAAAACACCATCTGCTGATCAGATTCAAAAGGAGGATCCAAAGATCCAACAGGTAAAATTGGCAAAAACACCATCTGCTGATCAGATTCGAAAGGAGGATCCAAAGATAAAGCAGGTAAAATTGGCAAAAGCACCATCTGCTGATAAGATTGTAGAGGAAACCCAAAAGGGTGATCTAAAACATCCGGAAGAAAAATTGTCAAAAATACCTTCTGATGGTGAAATCAAGAGAACTGACTCAAAATTTCACCAAGCAAAACTGGCAAAAATACCATCTGCTGATCAAATTAAGAAAGAAGGCTCAAAATTCCTTCAGGCAAGAATAGTGAAGACTGCCTCAGCTGATCAGCTGCCAAAGCAGGATAGTAATATTCAGGACATAAAATTAGTAAAGGAATCTATGGTTTCAGTTTCTTCCAAGGCAAGTAGTGATCGGATGCAATCTGGAAGAATTTTAGAGGGTGATGGCAAGTTTTCTGTTTCACAGGAGTTAGTCCATGTCTCTGAGACCAAACACAAATCAGCCGAAGAAAAATTTACTGAAGAACCACAAGAAACCAAAGTGCTCCCAGAAAGAAAGAAGCAGGATGAGATTAAAGAGAAAGATGTAGTGATGAGCATTCCAGAAACCATTCCCAAAGGTGAAAAATCACAGAAGGAAGAAATCTCAGCTCCCCCAGTTCCACTACCAAAGCCTGACCATGTGGAAATGCTGAGAGAAAAAGCAGTGAGTGGTTTATTTTCCTCATCTTCTCTACTTTTTCCACTAAATAAGGTAGGGAGAGATCCTAGAAACTATGAGCATAATACAGGCAAGTTTATTTATTTTCCTTTCCATTTATTTCAATGGGAAAAAACTTAACCCTATGCTTAATTTTCTAATGGAGATAAATGGAGAGCTAGTTAGAAGTGCTTTAATCTTGAATGCATTCTGCCATGTTTGCATTAACGTGTACTCTTGATTCAGATCAGCCTTTCTCCAGAACTTTTGTTCCTACAAGCATTCAGCTAAAGCATTCAGGCAATGGGAAAACAAGGCAATGCGTTGCCCTCCTAAACACCTCTAAAGTATGTGGAACTCACCATTGACTAAAATGTTCTAAAATGTCCAGCCTTTTTGTTTAGCTCAGAAGAGCTTCATAAACTGCTGCTAGTGAAAAAGGGTTTGATTTTGAGTACTCTCTGGCATTAGAGAGTAATAATAAGCTGTGGTTTGGAGGCATACATGTCTGTTTTCCATAGTATTATTAGCTGATAATTTTTCATAAAAGCCACCTATCAGATACTGAGAGTGTAATTTTAACTCATCCAAAGGCAGGAAGCAAAACAATAAGTAGGTTTCTACACAGAGGAATTCAGGTCAGGTCCTGCTGCCCAGCAGACATTATGTCCACATATGTGTTACTTTACACTCATGATCCCTGCCTGGTGCAGCTGCTCCTACTGTACTGCAGCATATCTTTTCCAGAGAGAGCACTGAACATTCAACTGCCAATTCAAGTTTCTTGTATATACATGGAATTAATGATGTGGCAGCAGAATGTCTTGATTTATACCCTGCCCATCTGGTCTAATGGAATTAATGATGTGTCAGCAGAATGTTTCAGATTGTTCCTGATATAGAGAACTACTGTGTACCTGCTGTAAATCCTGAGAATATTGAAATATATACTCAGCATTTAGAGAGGGATATCCTCCAAGATTTGGGAGAGAGGCATGAATGTCTCAGATTGTTCCTGATATAGAGAACTACTGTGTACCTGCTGTAAATCCTGAGAATATTGAAATATATCCTCCAAGATTTGGGAGAGAGGCAGACATTGCCAGCTTTACAAGCCACTGCTCATAGCAGAGCGGTAAAAATTTATATAGTTTCCCTCAACTTAACTTGGAATTTTCTATAAATCACCCAGCAATGTTTTGGGTGGCTTCATGTGGCAAGAGAAGTTCAGTAAGCAAATACTGACTGGATTCCTACTGGCATTTATGTAAGGTCACATAATTTGTTGTGGTACCAGGGCTTATTTCAGTTACAGAATCAAGCATGTGACACTTCCCAGTTCCTTATCAATTAGCCACAATTAGCTGCAGCAAGTTACACAGACCTTATGCAAATACCAATAAGATTTTGGCCACTGCAGTTCACTTCAGTTTCAATACCTGAAATGTGCAGTGTGGAATTAGTGTGATGCTAATTTTACTTTGCTACCAAACCATTCTCATACAATGAAGATCTCTTCTACACCCATCAGGTTTGCTGTATTCTTAAAGGAAAATATGAAATATTCTACTTAGTACATAGAACGTTATAAAAATATAGTTTTATTTACTTTTCCTTCTTTGTATGTTTGTATGTATTTATTATGCCAATAAAGGTATCCATTCCACCTACTTTTCCTTCTCAATTATGGGAGAAGAATAGGCAGGGATTCAGTACATAGCTCAATGAGTTGAGCATCTGGTTGTAGAACCAGATGTCTGAAGTTCAGCCTCCCAATGTGCTTCCCAGGAGAAGAGTCAGGCTATGTAGCCTTGGGTAAGCTGCACAATTCCTGAGTGCCTCTTAAAGAAGTGAATGAATCCTCTATACATATTACATCCAGCTGGAATCATTATTATTATTTACAGTACATATCATCATCATTTATTTTTATTGCCCACATGCCATAGCAGAGTAGATATCCTTATCTGCTTTTATGTTTCTTTTCTTTTTTTTTTCATTTTGAGATAAGTTTGCATCACACCTTGCTGATTTGATGGAATTTTAATGCTTCAGTAGATGTTGGCCAAAATCCCTGCTGGACTGGTTCTGCCCGTACAACAGGAATAATGTAAATGCTGATTAAGGATTGCCATTTTCTATTTGGGGGTATATACCACTTCATCTCATTGCATCCAAGCCATATACACTCTGAAATCAGATGGAAATGTGTTTAATCAGTAGCAATCTGCCACTGATGATAAGGTTATGAGCTTTGTGCAACAGGATTTGGGCCATTCACATCCAAATGTGCATCAGGCATATTCATTTGGATCTAATTAAGGGAGAAATCCCAAAGGAAGAGGTTTTCTTACATTTATGTTGAGATATGTCTTGCATCTTGTAAGGAAGAACGTGGGATGTAGATTACATTAATAGCTAATGAAATCAGTACATTTTTCTGTCAGTTAATGTTTTATCATAGCCACTGCAGATATAAGTGTTATTCTCAGGGTGGCATTACTAGTAGTTAACTTAATTACTTTCATATGATGAGTTTTAATATGTGTGTGCATATATGTTTTAGGAGAAAGAAGATGACAAGTCAGACACATCAAGCTCACAGCAACAAAAAAGTCCACAAGGTCTCAGTGACACGGGATATTCATCTGATGGGATTTCAAGTTCACTTGGTGAAATACCCAGTCTTATCCAATATGATGAAAAGGATATGCTTAAAGAATCATGCAAAGAAGAAAGTGTTTTACAGGAAGGCAGTCCAACAAGTCCATCTGATCTTGCTAAGTTAGAAAGCACTGTGTTGTCAATTTTGGAAGCTCAAGGAAGTGCCCTTCTTGAAGAAAAGTCTGAAAAGTCCAAAGATATTTGTATTGTTTATAATGAACAGCTAAAAGACTCACATAAAACAAAACCCCTACCTGTAACACCAGAGTCCTATAGTTCTGATGAGGAAGATCTGGCAAAATCAAATATTCAAGGAAAAGATGGAGCAGCTGTTGAAGAAGGCAGTAAGCAAGAGGAAGTGTCCCGGAAAGAAAAAGCAAAATTAGCAGAAGATGCATCAGCCCGAAGGCAACGCTATGACTCTGTGGAAGATAGCAGTGAGAGTGAGAATTCACCAGTTCCACGGAGGAAAAGACGAACTAGTGTTGGTTCTTCAAGCAGTGATGAGTATAAACCAGAGGACAGTCCAGGCTCAGGTGAGGATGAAGACTTTATTCGAAAACAGATCATGGAGATGAGTGCTGATGAAGATGCATCAGGGTCTGAAGATGATGAATTCATCAGAAACCAGCTGAAGGAGATCAGTGCCAATGAAAGTCAAAAGAAAGATGAAATGAAGACTAGAAAAGGAATCTCTGGAAAGCATAAGAGGATGACACGCAAAAGCAGCACAGGTTATGAAGAAGAAACTAGCAGGCGCCATTCCTGGCATGATGATGATGATGAGGCCTTTGATGAAAGCCCAGAACCAAAATATAGGGAAACAAAAAGTCAAGACAGTGAGGAAATTAGTGTAACTGGAGGTGGAGGTCTTCGTCGTTTCAAAACAATAGAACTGAACAGTACAATAGCCAATAAATATTCTGAGGAAACTGAACAAACAAAGAGCAGTCTGTATTTTGATGAAGAACCGGAGCTAGAGATGGAGAGCCTTACAGATTCACCTGAGGACAGATCAAGGGGAGAAGGATCTTCTAGTCTGCACGCCTCCAGTTTCACTCCAGGTACATCTCCTACGTCTGTATCGTCCTTGGATGAAGACAGTGACAGTAGTCCCAGTCATAAAAAAATAGGAGGAGAAACTAAGCAGCAACGTAAAGCCAGACACCGGACACATGGTCCTCTTCTTCCAACGATAGAGGATTCTTCTGAAGAAGAGGAACTGAGGGAGGAGGAAGAGCTGCTGAAAGAGCAAGAGAAACAGCGTGAACTGGAGCAGCAGCAACAACAACAGCAGCAGCAGCAACAACAACAGCAACAGCAGCAGCAGCAACGGAAAAGCTCTAGCAAAAAATCTAAGAAAGACAAAGATGAGCTGAGAGCCCAGAGGAGGAGAGAACGGCCAAAGACACCACCAAGTAATCTTTCTCCCATTGAGGATGCTTCCCCAACAGAAGAGTTGCGTCAGGCGGCAGAAATGGAGGAACTGCATCGGTCTTCCTGTTCTGAATATTCCCCAAGTATTGAATCAGACCCTGAAGCTTTTGAAATCAGCCCTGAAAAAATAATTGAAGTGCAGAAAGTTTATAAATTGCCTACAGCTGTTTCTTTATATTCCCCTACAGAAGAGCAGCCTATTGGATTTGTCAGGGAAGAGAGTGGTCAGAGGAGTTTAAAAAGTGCTGAAGAAGTATATGAAGAAATCCTGCAGACTTCCCAGAAAGCCAAGCCATTTCCAGATGCAAATGAAAAAGATGAAGGATTTGAAAAAGAGCCATTGTATGGTGGCATGCTAATAGAGGACTACATTTATGAATCTTTAGTAGAGGATCCTTACAGCGGAACAATGGAAGCTAGCCTCGCGACAAAACAAGAAGAGTGTGATGCATTTAGTGAACAGAAAGACAAAAGAACCAAGAGTCCAGATCATATATATGGCGAGCCTATGCAAAAATCTGCCAGTGTCGATTATTACAGGCCAGAGCCTTTGCATTCGGTTATGCCTCAAGAGGACATTGTGTCTAGCTCTTATATCATGCCAGAAAGTCATGAGATAATAGTGCTGGACAATGTGGTACCACCTTCAAGTGAAGAAAAGCGACTTTTAGATGCTGATGCTGCATATGAGGAACTTATGAAACGAAAAAGAATGCAGTTAACCCCAGGCTGTAGCCCGACCCAGCCATCTCCTGAATCTTTTTCTGCATCAGCTACAAGGACAAGGACATCTTCAGTAGTTTCAGATGTTCCTTCAGTGAGTCCTGCAGTCCTTCCCATTCCAGATGTTAAAATTACTCAGCACTTTACCACTGAAGAAATAGAGGATGAATACCTCACAGATTATGCACGGGAAATCGAAGAAATAATTGCCCATGAAACATCCATGTTAACATATTCAGAGGCCTCAGAAAGTGCCACATCCATTTTACCATCAGATACATCTTCCCTTACTTCATCTACGTCTTCAGTTTATACCACTGGTAGTTCTTCACCTGTGGCTGGACCAGATAGCGTGACATCAGGTTATATAGAAACAGTGGATGTTATGAGCAAGTTATCAGACTCGGAAGGGACCAGTTCAATGGCTCAGGTTCCGATAAGTTCCACAAAAGAGGATGCTGAATCCGTTGTGTTACTCTCAAAGGAAGCACTCGTAGGTGAAGATATAACTCATATGAATCAGGTTGTAATTTCACTGCCTAAAATAGACTCTTCTGTATCAAAATTTATGGAAACAGGGACCAAACCCTTTGCTTCTGTTTCTGCTGCCTTGGAATCTTTCCCACCAGAAGATGACAAACCTAGAAAAGATACGGCAAAGATTGATGTTGTGAAGGAAGTTTATGAAAATGAACAGGCAAGAGTTCCTATTAGCATAACAAGAAAAGATCTAACAGATGTTATATCTGACCAGAAATTTACACATACGACTCCAGTTTCAGAGATAGCACCAGTATTATCCTATGTTACTTCTACTGTGTCTGTGTTGCCATCTGTAGCTTCTTCAGTTCCCACAGTTACATCCAAAACATACTCATTTTTCAGAAGTTCTTCTTTGGACTCTTCTGCTCAGCCATCTCCCCCACCACCTCACACTCAGCCATTTCTACCATCACTTCCTGCTCAACCATCCATACCACCACCACCTCCACCACCACCTCCACCACCTCCACCACCTCCACCACCCCCTATTCTGCCTAAGCCAGCTATCTATCCTAAAAAGAAGGCATCAACCATGGACCCAATGACAACAGCTCCCACCCTGGTACCATGTGTCAGTAGTGTCAAAACCATAGATACAACATCTGCTGTAAAAGCTAGTGGACTGCCTGCCACAAAAATATATACATCAGCACCTCCACCTGTCCCCCCCAAACCAGCTACAATTCCAGCTGGTCTTGTGTTTACGCACAGACCTGCTGAAATAATAAAGCCTCCTATTGCTCCCAAACCTACCATCCCTCCATTACCAACAACTGCCCATAAACCAACAGAAATACAGACAAAACCATCGGGTTTGTCTTTAACCAGTGGTATGACTTTGAACTTGGCTTCCCCTGCTGAGTTCAAGCTGACATCCCCTACATCCCCCTTGTCTCCACATTCAAATAAATCTTCCCCAAGATTGTCAAAACCCTCTCAGGAAACCTATGTTGTAATCACTTTACCCTCTGAGCCTGGAACTCCAACAGAGTCTATTACCAGCCAGGCAATGACCCGTTGGCCTTCAGAATCACCTCACAAGGAACAGGCTCCACAGACTGTGCAACCATTATTCACTCCACATATGAGTGCTCTGCAAATGCAAATGCAGGGTACAACTGAACAAAGTAAGTCTATTGCAAGTGCTTTGCAGACAATTTCTTCTATTCCTATCGCAGCACGTTCAATTTTTGAGATTGTCCCTAGTTCTGCAACAGAGTTAATAACAGCAGAGGTTGCTAGAACTACAGTATCTTTGGTCAAAAATGCTGGTTTAGGTAGTGTTTCCATAACTATACCCCCAGAGCCAGCTCACATAATAGAACAACCCAGGTACCGAGAGAATGGAAGATTCCATGTGTTTGGAGATGTTATTGATCTTCGCACCTTGACTAAAATGGATATTCAAAAGACAGACAGTTGTATGGACCTATCTGCTGTGCCCACAGATGTGAAAAGGCAGACTATGGCAAGTGACACCTCAGGGCGACCAGTAAGCACCGTTCAACCAGCTATTATAAATCTTAGCACTGCATCGACAGCCGATCTCAATTTAGCTCCTATCACTGAAACTATTACAATTGCAAGTTGCACAGCAACCGTAAGTTATAGTACAAGTACGGAAAGTCTTGTGGATCTAGGGCATGCAATGACAACTCCACTCCAGCTAACAACCTCAAAACATTTTGAGCCTGGATCTAGAGTAACTGGTAGCCAGGCACTCTCTGCGGGGAGAGATGAAGTGCCAATAAATCTGTCTCTTGGTACTGCAGCTCATGCCATGACATGGGCTACAACAAAGCCCATTACTACACCTCCTGTGAGTGTAACCAATGGTTGGACTGATGTTTCCACTTCTCATGAACCAATGGAAAGTGGTGTTGTTGATCTCAGCACGACGAAGTCCCACAGAACTGTGGTGACAATGGATGAAACTAGTTCAGGAGTTGTTACCACTGTAATAGAAGATGATGAAAAACCTGTAGATCTAACTGCAGGGAGAAGGGCAGTTTGTTGTGATGTGATTTACAAGTTACCCTTTGGCAGGAGCTGCACAGCTCAAGCACCTGCAACAACATTACCTGAGGATCGTTTTGGTTATAGAGATGATCACTATCAGTATGACCGTTCCGGATCCTTCAGTTATAGAGGAATTGGAGGTATGAAACCTTCAATGTCAGATACCAATTTATCAGAAGCTGGACTTTTTTTGTACAAAAGCAAGAATACTTTTGAGTACCAAGTTGGGTCAACTGATGTAGCCGTAGACTTAACCTCTGGCAGAGTAACAACAGGTCAGTATGACAAGGCATCAGACCTTTCTGTGAACTATAGTAATGGTGTTGCTCATCTCATTTCAGGATGAATTATTTTTATTTCCTTCATTTTTTAAAAATCTCCTTTTTTGTTACATTTTTCTGTTGGACAGAGTGGCAAACTGCTGGGATGTATTTTGTTGTTGTTCCATCATTTTACATATATTATTTTGCACAAAGTGGTATCTGCATGTGCCTGCATGTTCAGCAAACACTTTTTTCCTTCTCCCTTTACTGCTTAAATAGATTATTAAAATGAAGATTTGCATGCAGCACCTCCTGCTTTTCCAATCATTCGACACAGCTTTATGGAATGGCTTTCATAGTCCACAAAAAAAGAGGCTTTCTTTGGGGAGACTGGACTATAACTCTGCCCTGTAATTTCAGGTGAAATCATGGATTACTCAAGCAAGATTACTGGCCCTTACCCAGAGACTCGGCAAGTGATTTCTGGCATTGGGATAAGTGCACCCCAGTATTCCCAAGCAAGAATAGTGTCATCCCTTGGATCCCCATACGGCATTGGGAGTGTTTTGAGATCATCCAATGGGGTTGTTTATTCATCAGTTGCAACTCCAGTCCCATCTACTTTTGCTATCACTACACAGCCTGGTTCTATTTTCAGTACATCCGTTAGAGACTTGCCTGCTCTTCATACTGTTGACACAATGCCCTCATTATCCAACTTGCAGCAGAGCCAGGCACTTCCGAGATCATACAATTTCTTGACAACAGTCAGCTCTGAAAAAGAGGGTGCAATTACTGGCATTGACATTGACCCAGGGTTGCAGCCTCTCCCTTTAGAAGCTATTACCACAGAACCGACCAACTTGATGCCTATTTTCACTACAGCCTCTGAGGCTTTTGTGGAGGCAATGGAGGATGAAGCTGCACTCCTTATTGCCCCTGAAGAAGGTAAACATCAGCATCTTGACTTAGAACGTGAGCTTCTAGAGCTTGAAAAACTGAAGCAACAACGCTTTGCAGAGGAGCTGGAGTGGGAACGTCAAGAAATACAAAGGTTCAGAGAACAAGAGCAGTTCATGGTTCAGAAAAAGCTTGAGGAACTTCATTCTATGAAGCACCACCTTCTGTATCAGCAGGAAGAAGAGAGGCAGGCTCAGTTCATGATGAGACAGGAAACACTTGCTCAGCAGCAACTGCATATTGAACAAATACAGCAGCTTCAACAACAGCTTCATCAGCATTTGGAAGAGCAAAAAATCAACCAGATCTACCAGTATAACTATGACCCATCTGGAACAGTTTCCCCACAAACCACCACAGATCAAGTCATTCTTGAAGGACAATATGCTGCTGCCAGCAGCCAGTTCTGGACTGGTGATGAAACCACCACCACTGCTTCAGCTGTCTTGGGAATGGAAATCCCACAAAGCCATGCCTGGTACACTGTTCAATCCGATGGTGTCACTCATTACATTCCCAGGGCTGGCATGTTAAGTTCTGTTTCGGAGATGTCTCTTAAAGATGTTGATGTGAGAGAGGAAAAACAGCTGAAAAAGAGGAGCTCCATGCCAAAGCTGCGTGGCCCATATGAGGAACTTGATGAAGCCATGGAAGAAGAGCCCAAGTGTCTTAAAAAGATAGTGGAGAGTGGGGTTCAAACAGATGATGAAGATAGTACTGATATGGGCTATGCAGATAGGAGGCAAAGGGCGAAAAAGGGTGTTGATACAAGTGTTCAAACAGATGATGAGGACCAGGATGAATGGGATCCTACCAACAGGTCAAGAAGGAAGACTCGTGTGGGGAAATACGAAGACACCACTGAGGTGGACAAAACAAAGCCATTTTCCAAAGTTTCCAGTATTGCAGTGCAAACAGTGGCAGAGATTTCTGTACAAACAGAGCCTGTAGGGACCATAAGGACCCCATCAGTAAGAGCCCAGTTAGATTCAAAGGTAGAAATAATAAAACACATCTCAGCTCCAGAAAAGACGTACAAAGGAGGAAGTTTGGGATGCCAGACAGAAACAGATTCAGATGTTCAGAGCCCCCCGTATCACACTGCCACCTCCCCTCAGAAAGATAAAAAGCGTCCAACACCATTAGAAATAGGTTATTCATCCCACCTTCGACCAGAACCAACACTCCAGGTAGCCCCTTCCCCTCCCAAATCCCCCAAAGTGCTCTATTCTCCCATTTCACCTGTTTCTCCAGCTGCAGTTATAGAGTCAGCCTTTGTACCTTATGAAAAGCCTGTTGCTGAAGACATTAGTCCTCAGAAGATTCTGCACACTGATGTTACCAAAATTCCGCAGCTGAGCCCAAAATCTGCCAAGGTGATGCAGCGTTCTTTGTCTGATCCTAAGCCTCTGAGCCCAACCGCTGAAGACCCTTCTAGAGCTCATTTCCAGTATGCTGATGGTTTCTTGGTAAGATGCTTGTTTTAATTGTTCTAGGTGACATTCTGAACATGAGCATTCTTTCATTATCCTTGATTCATGGCTCTGACCGGTTTAATGGGCAGTTCTGGAAATGAAACTCTGGTAACTTAGACACCTGGTAGGGGGACATCGATCTTCTTTTTAATTACACTTGGAGCAGAGAAAAAGGGACAGCCTGGTGCTGCTTCAGAGCAGGAAGGGATGGGCTTAAGCAGAGCTTATTTGAAAATACAAAGTACAGACAAACCAAGCTTTTAAATGATTTATTATTTTCTATACGTATTTAAATGATCTACATTTGTTTTTCTCTTTGAAATTCAGTCCATAGTAGCTTTGAATGCGTGAATTTCATCAAAGTGCTAGTAGTTGCTAGGGAATTAATTATTTTTCCTTGGCCTTCTCTTTGTTTTGTACATGCCACAATAAGGTTGCCTCTAAACATATGTCAGTTTGTTGTAATCCGCGCAGAGCGATGCACATCCAGCCGATCAGCAAGAGATTTAGAGGGATCTTTCAGACCACTCCTATGGAGAGTCTGCTTGCCAGACCTTGATCCTGTCTGCACTGTTCCTCTGAGAGCAGGCAGCTCAGAGGAATGCTGATTGCTCTCATCTCATGATAGCTGTTTCTGCAAATGTTGCAAGATTTGGGCAGCCTAAAAAAAATGACAATAGAAATCCACTGAGATATGAATTTTCAACAATGTGATTTAAATTTTTGCACTGCTATTACGATAATGCCTTTGTCAACAATACCCTGGTCTGTGCCTCCCTTACTATAATATCATCCCCTTCCTACAGAAATTAAAACATGAGGCAAAATGTGCAGTTGCTATTCTTTCCATTTGTTTTGTAAGAAACTAGGTTTTTTCCTGCAGCATTTCACTGTCTTTAGCCAATGAATTAAATGATAGCAAAGGCTGGCGTATCTTCCCTCTGGTTCATTTTGAAGCCACTGGGTTTTTCCCCTTCCCAAACAGAAAAAGTTATATTTTAAAAAATCATAATTATATTTTAAGAGTATAATGTATCGTTCTAATTGCTAAAATTATATCACACATTTTGTAAAAACTAGGCTTCTTCCTGAAATTGTCAAACTAAAAAAATTACTGTATCAATTCATGCAAGTTAAATATTTGTTATACGCGGATTGCAGGTTGCAGGACTATGGTGGAAAGACTTTGTGTTAGCACTGTAGTTCAGTAGTTTTAACAACTGTGCTGTTGGATATTATCCAGTGCTGTTGTTCAGTCTCCTGGTTTGTTTGCTTTTTGCAGGGAAATTATAGAGACTATGAAATTAATTATAACATCAGTATAGCTTATAAAGGGATGGTGTGGCTTGTGTCATTTGTTGTTCTGTATATAGCTTGAAGAGGCCATGCAATCAGGGCCAGCCAGGCCATTACCCAAAGTGCAAACTCCAGCCTCTTTCTTCAAGCCACCATTATTGCCTCCATAATTCAACCACTTCTCGGCCAGTTATATAAATTCAATTCTTTAAAAAAAAAAAGCCTCCCGTTTATGAATGTGGAATATCGTACTTCTGTATCCATGGTTCAGGATGCCAGGAAATAGCCTAGTATTGCTGCACAATATCATCCCCGCGTTGCCTGCAGGAAAAAGAAGGCCAAGCTTTACGTTGCAGAGGGCATGCTGAATGCTGATGACACCAATGGCAGCAGTCAAGATAGTCTACAGGATACCGTCTTTTGTTCACACCCTTTCACAAAGTGACACCACACAAGGGAAAATCTCAGAAGCTGACTCCTTTTTTCATCACTTGTTTTGTTGACCATGAGAAACTAATTTGATGATTGGTCAGTTAGACATGTCATTTGAAACTTTGCAAAATCACAGGTTATTGTGTGGGATGCCATTCCTACATTGTACAAAAAGCAAGCAGGCAAGAGATAATCAAGAGTGGTTGCCTCTGGATTGCCCATTACATAATATCTTGCAGTGAAATTGATCAGAATCATCTTCCCCAAGTCCATGGAAAACATGCTGCTCATTTATCTGAAACAAATAAGTGCCTTTTGGCACTAGATTTGTAGAACATTTAAGGAGTACAGGTACTATGGCTCAGTTTTACCCACCCTGACATTCCACCATCAGCCTTAGCAACAAGGTCAAGAGCAATGGGATATTGAGAGTTTAGTCCAATACAGATGGAGGGCCAACATGGGGAAGGCTTCTCTAGATTTTGTGGGGTAAGTTTGAAATAAATCCTTCCAAAGAAAATAGGCAGCTGAGACTGAAGAAACCTAAAAGTAAACGTAAAACATTAATGTAAATGTTTGAGGCTCCTCCATCATTTGTGCTAACATCTGAGTGCTTAATGGTTACTAATCAGCTGCTCCGAGTGTTAAACACTTACAGTAGCAAGGACAAAGCAATTTTACCTCCTCATGGTGTCAGCTATTTTAATGGATATTAGAAGGGTGAAATTCTCTTAACTATAGCATTTTGCTTTAAACCAAGAAATCTGACTACAGAGTCTGTCTGTCTCTAGGATCAGGTTCCATTCTTAGTAACTGTAAATTTTCTTCTGGGGATTCTGAATCTTGTGGGGAAAGTGCCAGAATCTCTTTGGCAAGGGCTGTCACAGTTCAGAAACAGAGTAAGCTTTTTCTTTTTT